TTTTAGGAATATATATTGGAGCATTGGAGGGAATATAAAGAAATTTAGGTGGGTGGATCATCTTAAACAAGTTAATCTTACTCAACAGAGTTAATGGGAGATCCTTCCTCTTCTGAGCCCGTTCTTGAAATGATCTAATAACAGGCCAAAGATTATTATCTAAAAAGAAGGGTAGTGGGAGCCAAATATTAACCCCAAGATATTTAAAGTTATCTGAGACCGCAATGAGACAATGAGAAGGAGTTTGCAAGTTGGGTTGATTGTCCAAGTCGATTTATCCCAGTTAATGTGAAAACCGGAATAGTCTCCAAATTCCTGAATGATTGAGAACGCTGCAGATAGTGAGGAGTCCAGATCATTTAGGTATAATAGCATATTATATAATGAGAATCGCTCTTCAAATTCCCCCTATATATTGGCCCTGGACATCAATGCCCCCCTCTTAATTTCGCAGCCAATGGCTCAATGGCCAGTGAGAATAGGAGAAGAGATAAAGGGCAACCCTGTCTGGTTCCGTTTAAATCTGAAACTGGTCCGAGATAAGCCTGTTGACCCTTACTTGAGCCACTGCCCACTAATTTTGAAATGTGACAGTGGGTGTGGGGAGGGGAACCCCTGATTGCTCTATCAGGTGCACCCTAATAACATGCTGTGCCCTTAAGAAGGGAGTAATGTCTAACGTGCTCTAAAGGCTTTAAATACTTGTTTGGGCCTATAGGAAGGGAAACGCAGTTTTACTTGCCTGATTCTCCAGTTATCCTGGCAGACAGTGCTCCCATATGTTTTTAGTGATGGATTGTACCTCAGCGTATTCTCATCTAATGCAGGGCTGTGGGCTCTGCATTGGTCTTGATGTCAGAGCTTCCAACCGCCAGAGCATGGAGTAGAAGTGACTGCGGGGAACGGTCTTGCAGAGCGGAGGAGCCTGCGGGAGCAGAGGATCAGGTAAGTAAAACTGCTTTCACGCGATCTAGACCTAAGCAAACGTTTAACCCTTGCAGTGCTGCGGCAGCCACACTGCATGGGGGGATGTTTACTTTGGGTCCTCAGAGTTCAAGTTCCACTTTATTACAGTTAGGAATTTCATCAAATATAAGAAATACTGTAGTCCAAACAGGTTATATAACAGATGGCATACAAGGGTTTTCCTACAGCGGAGAGAGGATTTATATTACAGTCATAATATTAATGGGCAGACAGAAGGATGTAACATTAATTACATTGTACATCAGGATGAGAAGGGAAATGGATGGGCACAGAGAGCAATAAAATAGGAGGAAACAAGGCAGTGTCTTCTGTAATTCAAGGTCATAAATAGGAGAAGATGTAGGTTAGATCAGTGGGCACCTGAGTCACTGTGCGGCTAATTAAACAAAGAGCCGGAAATAGTGTTTTACAGCTGCACTGCCCTCATTTACCAGCTTGATATATCCCCGCAGTGATTAATGGGTTTCTATAGCCGCCCTCCATATCCTGGGCAATGAATATTCATTTCTAGACTTCTAATGAGCAAAACTCCTCATCTTATAGGTTAAATGACCCATTTTGTAATTTAATGTTGTTAAAAAGGGCCACTTCATTCTCCATCAAGCTGTGAGTTTTTAAAACTATCATGCCTGTTTAGACTTCAGTGCTTGCGGTAGCACGCCTTTCCAAAAAGCACAGTAACGCACTTTATATCTGCGTTTCCATTCATTTTGTATTGCACACTATAGTGCGTCACAACCAAAAACACAGGTGCAACGCATGCTCTATGTCTTGCAGTGAGACTACACATGTTACGTTTTGCTTCCCTACTCTGGCAGACAGGACTGGCATACAGGTTTGTATTTCATGGACTCAGCATCCAAAAACATATGTTCCACGCATGCTTGGTGTAAATGAGCCCTACACATGTTACGTTTTGCTTCCCTACAACCCTGGCAACAGGATTGTGATCATGTCATATACACTGTTGGAGGAGACGGTTCTGGCCATGGAGAATGATAACCCAGTCTTATAACGTTCCCTTGTTCTCTGAGGGCCTGTTCATTTCATTGTGAACAGATGTTTACATTCATCATGGGAAGATGGATGGAGCCAAATACAGGGCAATCTTAGAAGAAAACCTGTTAGAGTCTGCAAAAGACTTGAGATTGGGGCGGAGGTTCACCTTCCAACAGGACAATGACTGTAAACATAGTCAGAGCTACAATGGAATGGTTTAGATCAAAGCGTATTCATGTGTTAGAATGGCCCAGCCAAAGTCCAGACCTAAATCCAACTGAGAATCTGTGGCAAGACTTGAAAATTGCTGTTCACAGACGCTCTCCATCCAATCTGACAGAGTTTGAGCTTTTGTACAGAGAAGAATGGGCAAAAATATCACTCTCTAGATGTGCAAAGCTGGTAGACACATCCCCAAAAAGACTTGCAGCTGTAATTGCAGTGAAAGGGGGTTCGACAAAGTATTGACTCGGTGGCTGAATACAAATGCAGCCACGCTTTTCAGATATTTGTAAAAAATTTTGAAAACCATTTATCATTTTCTTTCCACTTCACAATTATGTGCCATTTTTTTTTTTTTTTTTGGTCTATCACATAAATCCCAATAAAATACATTTACGTTTTTGGTTGTAACATGACAAAATGTTACGTTTCCAGAGGTATGAATACTTTTTCAAGGTACTGTAATCGTGGAACAACACTGGGCAATTCAAACTAACCATAGAATGGAAAGTAAACTCATATAAGTCACCTTCAGTGCAAACCACATGTCAAAATGAGGGATATATCGAGATACAGGCAGCTCAAGTTATGTACAAATCTCTACTTTGCCCGTAAGGCACCTTTCACAAGGGCGGACTTCGCCTGTGTCTGTTTTTCTCAGCAGGGGATCTGTCCGCTGAGCAGGCGGATGACTGATCCGTGTTCGCTCCACTTATGCAGAACAGACACAGCCTGGTCTCCTATATGAGTGGTCGGATTTAAACGCCTGTCCATTTACACCTGACTGCCATCATTTACGATTTCCCCCCCCCCCCAGATGGAGGGGAGCGGATCCCATCCATTTGTTTTTAACGGATTGGATTTTATGTAGGTTGGTTGGACACATGTCCGTTTTATTCCCTCCTCTCCATAGAGGAGAATGGAGGCTCCAATTGGATCTGCATGAAAAACCAGAAGGGGACTCGATCGGACCGTTTGTGTGAAAGGGGCCTTTAGCTTGTTCTACCACTTGAGCCTTCCTGTTTGCTTTTTGTGTGGTGGATGGCCTCACTGAACACTAGGATGCCTCAGGAGGTAGCAGGGACAGGGCTAAGCTTGGCTTTTTCAGAAAAGGTTGAGATTTGCACATCAGCTGTCTGTTATTCTTGATTGGATGGATTTGCTGTGCATTAACCTGTGCTTATACATTTTTATCCTATGTTCTGCCCAGACAAATTTACTCTCTTTTACAAAGTAAACTGAATTGAGCTGCACTTCACAACACATTCATAATATTGCAGGTGGATGCTTGCGAAAACATTTTCTGGCTCCATTCCCAGTGGAAATATTGTAAGTGGCCGTTATTAATAAGTTAATTACCAAAGCCCAGTAGTACTGTTGGCTAGATGCAGCTCTCAGTACATCTCACAAGATGATTTTTTTTTTTTTAATCTACCGGATTTGCTTTTTTGTTTTCTGAGTTTGATAAAGATTTAAGCTTGATAGCAGAACAAACGTCTTGGCTGCCATCCTCGGTTCTTCCCTTTTTTTTTTTTTTTCTTTGAATACCAAACCTGTGATGAGAGAAATGTAAAAGATGCTGTTGCTAATGCTCTTGTGAAAATACCAGTTGCCTGGCTGTCCGACTATATTACTGTCAGCGACTTAAAACAAGCAAGACAAGTTGGAGGGAGGTCAAAACTTGAGATGTACAAACCTTCTCTGGGTCAGTGACTCAAAGTATTGGTAAGCCAGATAACTAACATTTTTTATATTGAGTTCAGCAATAGCAGCCTCCTTGTATCTCTCTGGTGGTTTTCTTTTAAAGCTACCCTTTTAAAATGCTTTTTTTTAAATTTTTGTTTTGCACGTGAGTGGGTGTTCTCTGCAAAGTGAAGCTTTACCACATTTACTAGGCTCAAGGGATCTTGCACTGTACAGTATATTTTCCTTTATTAAATCATCCACCACCTAGTGCATAGCTCAGCCCCCCCCACTACCACTGGCTGTGATTGGCAGCAATGGGAGACAATGACTCCCTCTGCTGTTGCTCAGCCGATGAGGAGAGAGAAACCTGGGAGAGCCGCTGCTCACGTGCACAGCGCTGGATCGAGATGGGGCTCAGGTAAGTATTAGGGGGGTTGTGGGGGGAGCAGCAGACAGGAGGCCTTTTAACTTCATGTATAGAATGCATGAAGGTAAATACCCTTCAAGCTTTACAACCACTTGGCATACCTATAATAGAAGTCTTTAAATATCTTTTCTGCTGACCCTACCACCAAACTCCACTTTGATGCTGAGAAATCTTCTCCTGAAGTCTGCACTGAAACCAACATTTCTGGAAGTATCGATCTCCTGGGTTCCCACAGCTCTTGGTGGTTCCTTCTTCCACCTCCAAGTCACTGCTGAATACTATGATGGGTAGAGAAAAATCAGAATGAGGAACCAGTAAGAGCTGAGAGGACTTTTACAGGTACTCCTGACATTAAAGTATCAGTATTCCTTTTCTTAAGCTTTCAGTGCTTGGGATTAGAAAATGTATACACATCCTTAATGAAAACTATGTTATATATGATGTCTGCTATTAACCATCAGCATCTCTCTTTCCAATCTTCACTCTTTTGCAAAGCTACAGCTACATGTGTTTTCTTTAACGCATTTCTCTTAAAATGTTTAAAATGGTAGAACTATTGTGGAGATGCTTTCCTTTTCCAAGGTTTAAAATGTACTCATGCATTCCTGTATTTTTCAGAATGAACCACTGTTGACATGGGCTGGTGGCGACCCGGAGATTTAGTGCCTTCAACGTTGCAATGGCTTCAGAGGTGGAGAAGGCAGATGCTCTCCTCCAGACGTTCAGCACTGCCTCTGTAGTCTCCAGCTTGGGCTTGGGTATTTTCTGCTTTCTGGCAGACAAGGCGCAGCAAACCTCTTTAATTCAACAAAATGACTGGCTGAGAGCCATGTCTGACAGTGCCACCCATGGGGTGATAGGCATGTGGTCATGGGCCATTGTGATTGGCCTTCGTAAGAGAAGTGACTTCTGTGAAGTTATTCTTGCTGGATTCTTTGCTTGCATCATTGACCTGGATCACTTCTTTCTGGCTGGGTCTATATCATTAAAGGTAGGTGATAATTTTGTTTTCTACTTGCCAAAACTGGATACTAGTATTTGTTAAAGCAGACATTCATCTTAAAGGTGATGTTGTGCCTCCTCTCCCTCCCTCTCTTACCATTAGAACATTCTTTGTGCTTTCCGCCTTTATCACCTAGTCAAATGTGCCACAAGTCTTGGGTCCCGAACAGAGGCGAACTGACAACTCATGGGGCCCCCGAGCAATAGGGGATCATGGGGCCCCTGTGTCCTCGCCCACACCCAAAAAAGCCTATGAAAAGTACCAGGAGCATCTCATGAGGCCCCCTACTGACTCCAGGCCCTCGAGCAGTGCCCGAGAGCTCGAATGGTCAGTCCGCCCTGATCCCGAAAGAGCCCTGCAGCTCACTTGTGAATGTACCAGTTTAACCATTCATCTTCAGGGTTTTTCATGCATGAACAAAGACTGCTAGCTGGGAAGCCTGGATAATTCCCAGTCTTTGCATGTGCGTGGAAATTCATCTGCACGTGTGCATATGTGCCGACGAGCTCTGCCGGGACCCAAAGGCTAGGCAGAGCCCATGGGCACATCTACGTGTGTGCCATAATCATGCCATTCAGGGAGGATGGACTGAAGTTCATAATTGTTTAAAGTTATTTTAGTCATCTGTAAGGTAGGACTACACCAATTTGTTTTCTGCTGTAGAGCTCATTCAAACTAGCAGCTGAGGGGCAATAAAACTCTGTGGTTGAACAACGTTTTTACCCACCCATTCAAATGTGCTAGTATGGGGTTATATCAGGCAATGAGGACACAACGCCTTCTCACTACCTCACAAATAATCTCTGAATAGCGATCTGAATGTAGATTGCTCTTCAGAAATCAAAGCACATGTGAACAAGCCTTTAACCTCCCTAGTGGTCTGATTATGTCCATATTTCTGTGCTCAAAACCGTACATTTTTTGCATGGAAATATGTATTTTTTTTTTTTTTTCTTTTTTTATTGTAGGCCTGTAATTTTTAGGAATAACTCACTGAAATCTGTCCGAACAAGAATCTAGTAAACATCCTGGGTATGATAAAATTTCAAACACGAAATCATAAATTATAATTTAATAAATAATCATAAAAAATAATAATATAATAATAATAAATTTAATTCAATAATATAATCAAACCAAAAACACTGAAATTTGAAATATAGCGCCAAGTATGCATATCACTGAGCAAAGTCGCAAAATCGTTTTCAGTGTCTGACGAATTTCCCCACGAATCATTATCACTCAATTCTGCAAGTGGTTCTGATTTACTATCGCTGTTCTCTAGCTGATCTAAAACTGGTTTTGACCTAAAGAGACGCTTTTTGGACACCATGGACGTTTTTTCAGTTTCCAGGCAGAAAGAACGATACAAATGCAGACAGGGCACAGGACAAAGCACTCGGGACAAAATGTATGTGAAATGGTTTGATACAGTAATGTTATACTATGTGATTTTAGTGTATTGAGTAAATGTCATTTTCGACATTATAATAACATTGTATGAATATAAACAGAGGCGTCTATATTATAAATACAGGGAAATGTTATCAATGTTATATAATAGGATCCAATCCAGATCTGCTCTACATCCCAACATCCAATCCAAAGCCGCCTGGATTGGTCTGGATCCCAGATGAGCCAATCAGAGTAAAGCAGGCTGAACAGAGGCTGCTGATTGGTCACACATAAACTCCGCCCCCCTCACTGTGGGATCCCTCATGAGCCAATCAGAGTAAAGCAGGCTGACAGAGGCTGCTGATTGGTCACACATAAACCCCGCCCCCCTCACTGTGGTCACATGACCTCCCTCACTGAGTCCTCAGTTGCTGTGTATTTTGCTCTCACCAGAGACAGCTGCTTCCTTACAGAGCTCCTGTTTTTTTTCTAAAAAAAAAAAAAAAAAAATGTGCAGAATCTTTGCCGCGATTGTTATTCTGTTGCTCCCTTGGGGAGTACACAGGAAGGACATCAAAGACTCCACAAAGACCGGCATGGACAAGGACAATGATATGAAGATTATGGAGGAACGAAGAAATTTCATCAAAGACTCCCCAGATATCCGCATGGAGGGGGGGAGCATGAAGATTGATGGAGGAACACCGATATTTCATCAAAGACTCCCCAGATATACGCATGGAGGAGGAGAGGACCATGAAGATGATGGAAGAACTGGAGCAGGAAAAGGTCAGAGAATTGGAAAACGAGTCCCCAGGACCCATCAGTTGGTTTTCACTACTGGCCACCACTCCATTCTGGTATAAGGGGACAGTCCTGATAAGTGTTCTCATTCTGAGGTACATCCTGCGCAGGAATCACCTGGCCACAATATTAGCACAATATTTGATGTTCCTGGAGCTGATTGAATTCTTTTATCTACTACTCGATGTCTGGTACAGCGAGGGGCCAACCTCAGAGAACACAGTTCCACCCATGCTTAAAAATGCCACTGACTGCTACCAATGGATGGTTGCTGAGCTCCAGTCAGTCTGGTCCAATGGGTGGGCAGCCTTAGGGAACACAATCCCACCCATGCTTATAAATGCCACTGACTGGTACCAATGGATGGTTGCTGGGCTCCAGTCAGTCTGGTCCAAGTCAGGGTCCAATGGGTGGGCAGCCTTAGGGAACACAGTGCTACCCATGCTTATAAATACTGTTGCTGAGCACCGATCAGAATGCTTGTTGGGGCTTATCATCTTGCTGCTGGTACTGTTCCTAAAATATTTCAAGCCATTTCACCAATGGATCCAACCAACGAAAAGCAACATCAACCCACCGACGATGACATCAATCTAACAACAGACAGCACTATGGACCAGGCTGACTTTCGTACTCCCATCCCCACACCTCCTAGGAATAACGTCCGTTTTCACATAAAGGTTTTACTCCGGGAAATGAGGAGGAGCGAGCAAAACAAGCGGCTCTGGCACATTAACATCTTCCCATCAACAAGTGAAAGTGTGGACAGTGCTATGGAAGAGACTGACTTTCCCATTTCCCAGCGTCCCACCTCCCAGGGATGACATCCGTGCTCACCTACGGGATTTAAGCCGGCCAATGAAGAGGCGCAGGCCAACCAAGGAGTTCAGGCATGGCTACATCCTTTCATCAACACCAAAAGTGAAAATGTGGACAATGCTATGGAAGAGACCGACTTTCCCATTCCCAGCGTCCCACCTCCCAGGGATGACATCCGTGCTCACCTACGGGATCTATGCCGGCCAATGGGGAGGCGCAGGCCAACCAAGAGTTCAGGCACCGCAAGCTCAATCACCAGAGAGTGACACATTCCACCAAAAGATGATGATGCGGACAGTGCTACGGGTGATTCTGAAGTTCCCATAGGCAGCATGGACACCCCCCATGACTGTCCATCCCAGTGTCACCTACGCCAGCAGGTGAAATTCCTAGCAAAAATGAAGATCAAGCCCGTTTTTCCACTACTGATGGACGTTTATGCCGGAAAGAATGAAGATTGCAGCTGGACAACCACAGACAGTTCAGTTATGGCACGAGATGATTCATCCCATTCAAACGTGACGTCACCTCCCAGGGATGACATCCGTGCTCACCTACGGGATTTATGCCGGCCAATGAAGAGGCGAGGTCAACCACAGAGTTCAGGCATGGCATAATGTTCCATCAACGAGTGACGTCATTCCACAGGTTGATGATGCCGTCCCATCAACGCATGACATCATTCCTAAGAGATATTCTACCATGTCATCAATCAGTGACATCATCCAACCACCAAAGCGATGACATTAGTTCTGGGACTGACCAAGACTGGCCATCCCAGCGGCGCATCTCCTAGTGATGGCACCCGCTTTAATCCACGCAATTTATTCCGCGAAAGAAGAAGCACAAGCGAAGGGTGAAAAATCTCAACAATCCCACCTCATACCAGGTCGCCGTCTCTTGTGCGGGAGACATCCAATTATATGTCCAGCAGACTGTTTCATCTTCGACTGTGTCCTCCTAAATATCGCAGCCGTATTCACCTATTGTCAGGGGTCGGGTGTTCTGCCGCGATACGCCGGGTGGCGCATGCACAGAACACCGACACGCTCTAGCCAGCGGGCCCTGGGCGATCGTGGCAGCGGCGACGGCCGCGCATGCGCACGCACGATCGCGATCGCGGACAGGCGCCTGGCACCAATGACAGCGCAGGGCGCGCTATTTAAACAGGACAGGAGGTATGTGTAGGTTCCATCTGAAGTTTCCTGTACCTGTGTAATTGCCGTTTAGTCTTATTGTCCTGTTCCTGTCATCTGATTTGTGAAGTTTCCTGTTGCCGACCTCTGCTTGATCCTGACCCTGCTGATTGTCTCCTGCTTGACCCCTGGCTTGACCTGACCATTCTCTGCCTGCTCCTCCGGTACCTCGCTGCCCGCACGTTGCTGAACCCGGCTCGTGACCCTGACCATTCTCTCTGCCTGCTCCTCCGGTACCTCGCTGCCCGCACGTTGCTGAACCCGGCTCGTGACCCTGACCATTCTCTGCCTGCTCCTCCGGTACCTCGCTGCCCGCACGTTGCTGACCCGGCCTGCCTGACTACGCCTTACGTTACGCTGACTGTCCATCCATCCATCCCGCATGGATCAGTCCCTGCTGCCAGGCCTACCAGCCTCTTCACGTCAGGCTCTATTTCCCGCAACACCTCTGACGGTACTCTCTACCACTGCTGGACGTACTCAGGGGTCGCGCCCTGGTCTCGGTCTGCTCCAAGTCCATCCCCACCATCAGGGGCCCTGGTGCATAAGCAGATTGGGACTTAGACCCTGCGTGCTGAGGAACCCCGCACTGTGGGTTGCTAGAGATACCCGGACAGAAGACTCAGAGAGAACATTGGATACACAGATATTCATACACATTTCTGCGTGTCGCCTATTCAAGCGTTTGTCGCACCAAAGAAACTCAGGGACAAAATTTCAGCCTTCAGCCAGGTGCGATGTAACACACACGTTTTCCCGCAATTCTCATGCGTC